TTATACTTAGAATAGGAGGAGTATTAATTAGTTTATAAAAGCTAATACTCCTCCGGTCCTTAATATAAGATCTCTTTAACTAATTTGATTAGATTAAGAAAGTTAAGTAAGTTAGCTAATTATAAAAAATATGACATGTTTTTCCTAAACACCATAATCATCTTTCTTATATCTTCCCTCCTTCACTTACTTGATTATGGTTGAGGGAGTATCTATAGAGGCAATTTAGAAAAAATTGATAAATATGATAAATAGATTTTATATTTAAGACTAAAATTAACTTATTAATTGAGTCCTATATTGAGGATAGGAGGAGTAGTATTTGTATTCGAAGAATCTAATTTCTCAGGCCACCCAACGCTTGTTAGTTTATGATTTTCTTCTGGGCCAGGATGACTCTTTTTTTTTTTACACGTAGGCCAACAGGAATTGATACGAGGGGCTTTGAATTCTTACTTTTTCTTCTCGCATGTTTATATAATCGGGTCCATTCCTTCTTTTCTTCGGGTCAACCCAATAAATACATGGGCTTCAAGAATCTTGCACATCCAATGGGCCAGTGATATTATTACCTTTCAATTATATACAAGTATTATGGCCTTCTTCCTCTTTTTTCTTCTTTTGAATATTTTTTGGGTGAGCACTTAGTATGAAGGCCTTAAAAATTTTAAAACAAATCATATACATATTTTTTAAGTTTTGCTAAAATCATACTCCTTATACTTAATATAAAATATACTTAACTAGCTTCAATAGATTAAAAACAAAGGATAAATTAATTAATTATAATTAATTATAACAAATATAATATAATCTCCTTAAGATGTTGTTGTATAAAATTAGATTATACATTAATCTATACGTTAGAAAAATTAATTTAAAAAAATAAATATGAAAAGTAAAATTAATTTTGATCTTATCTTTAATATTAAATCTAACAATTAAGGACATGAGGAAGTAATAATATTCAAATTTTTAGAATAACTTTTTTTTATGCTAACTTTCATTGGGTCATGTACTAACATGTTATTGGAAAACAAAAGAAAGAAAAGAGGAACGGAAACAAAAATGAAATCAAAATCTTTTAATAAATTTAAATGATGGAAAAAATTGATAATTAAGGGAAATAGACTTTTCTCAATATAATGGAGACACGTACGAACATGGGACTTCTCTTGGGTGCTAATTGAAGGGCATGGATCCCACGTCGCATTCCATGCAAACACGTCGGGCCAATGTGACTTAGGGTGTGTTTGGATGAAACCAAACCGTGGTTTGAAAAAGTGATTCTGGAGAATAGATTCTGGGAAGAATAAATGTTATGAAAAAGTGATTTTGAGAAGTGAGAGTGTTTGGATAGTTGTTATCAGAAGCACTTTTTATATATACAAATTACTAAAAAAAAGACATAAGTTAATATGATAATTACAGAAAAAATAGATTTTATGATATGTTTTAATTTGAAGAAATAAAATTGTTAATAATATATTTTTTATTAACATAATTAATAATACATAAGATAATATAATTAATAAATAATTAATATGTATATATTTTTTTAAAATATAAGATTAAATATGTTTATAAAAAAATATGTTTATAAAAAAAATAACAAGATTCATATCCTATAAGTTCTCACACTCTTTTTTTTTTCTCCAAAAGCAAAAAATTTCTGCTTTTTTCAAAACCATGGTTTTGGAGCCAAAACCATGATTTTAGTCCAAAACCACGGTTTGCCCAAAACCAGTGGGTGTTTGGGTGACTTATCACCCAAACCATGGTTTGAGGTGTCACCCAAACGGAGCCTTAAACATAAAATCGAGTAGTTGAGTTTTTTCAATAATGGATATGTTTGTGATTGAAACCTACCAACCAATTAAGTAAATTATATCAATTACCAATTACTAACAAGTTAATATTTTTCAAAACGAAAAACATAAACATGAAACATTCCAATTCCAACCAACAAAATAGGAAGAGTCGTGGCTGAATTAGCTTACTAAGCTTGTAAATGAAACGTAGTCCCCACATTTATTGTCCTTTGAAATTTGGATTCACATATAATCCGCCACCCCATACCGTGCTATTAATTGTAGGGGGACCCTCCATAGTCATAATCATATTTCTCTGCTAATAGTTAACTTCCTCGGCATGATAAGAATAATCACAATATGACTATAGTCCCTTGCTCACATGCATAAAGTCACGTGCGCACAAACTTCGTCGTTAAGTCGTTAGTGATCCTCTCTCTTCTCTCTTATTTAATAATGGATCTTTCCATACCAGTCATATATTATCACTAAGATTTCCTCCTCCATGGTGCATATGTATATAAGCAGGACACATTTCAAAAAAAAGAAACTATATTTGTTACTGAAGTAATAATATCTTCGGTCTTTAATATAAGAGTTAGTTTGACTTTTAATTTAATCCTAAATATAATATCCCAATCTACTTGTCTCTTATATTCATCTATTTTTTTAAAAGTAGTATTTGTAGTAGTTGTACATGTTAAAGGTTCAATCAAATTGTAGCTTTAGCTAATACATAATTAATCAGGATATTTTAGAAAAGATAACACGTAATTATTGCAAATAACTAGCTCAACAAACTTCCTTAATCTATTCAAATTAATTGATCAGTTGTTATATTAAGGACAGGAAGTAGTATTGTGAATAATTTCTAAAATTTTTATATAATCCGTGTGGGTACTTATACTGGCTGGAGTAATGAGATCAAATAATAAATTCCTCCTAACTAGATTTGTTCCATGAAAGTATTGTCTTCCATATTAGATTTTTGCTCCACGAGAATAAACCCTTTTCAATAACTAGGTTCCTACATATAATGCTGATCATGTGGGAGCTTGGTTTATATATATTAACTCTCTAGTACTTAATAGTGTAAGATTAGACAACTAATTCAAAGATATTAATAAATTAATTAAATAGATTAATTGTAATAAATGTGTGTTGACTTTCCTAAACCACTCTCTTTAATGATATGTATTAGAATTATTCCTTGATAATTGTAAATCATTTAAAATTTATTTAAAATAGTACTTTTTTTTCCCAAATATTAATGACAATTAGATGGTGAATATATTTTATTTACTAATCACTTTCAATATATGCTTTACACAAATCAATAAAAATCTTATTTAATAAATTCTCATTTAAAATTTAAAAATTTTAATTTTAATTTTATTTAATATATAATATATCTTATATTTATTAAAAATAATTAATTTAACTAGTTTTTTAATTTGATTTTTATATTAAGTACTGGCTACCATTTCGGAATGAACAACTAAGCTGGCAGCCCATTTTTCAACGTACTATATAGATTATTTGAACAGTGGAGATAAATTTTTGTACTTGAGGATGACATGTGCAGGACGCACTACGCTCTGTAGATGGCAAAATAGTTTTCCATCAATTTCCATATATTTAGAATAATGGAAAGGACATTTGGAGTTTTCCAAGTACCATGATAGTTGGCAAAAGTTTGAAATTTCAATAGAGAACACCCAAGTCTTCTTTGTGACCTACTTCTTTGCATAAATTAATTGATCGTACTCTGGCTAGTTTTTTTTTTTTTTTTTTACCAGCGTACTCTGGCTAGTTGGAGAATGATAGGCTTCTCTTTAAATATCTCATGTATAATTACTAGCTTACAGTTCAATTCCCGAGAAGAAACCAACGAGTACCCTACCATAGACACTTTCATTCCTTTGTTTAAATAATATTCAAGTCCAATAACTTCATTGCACATCATCATTACACCACATAACAATAAAATTCATTAGCATGCATAAATATTGTTTTCCCTTGAATTACATCCTCTTTAACTTTTAGTTTTTAAATTAATTTTTAAAATCCAATAGATTTCTTCTTGGTAAAATGTTGTAAATTTCATTTGCTAAGCCAAAAAAGAAAAATACATACTCCCTCTAAATCTATATATATATATATATATATACATATATACTACTCCTCTAATCCTAAATGTAAGACTCTTATATACAAGTGTATATAAGAGTCTTACATTTAGAGCCGGAGGAGTATTATATAGGGGTATTCATAACAGGGCTGGACAGGGTCTAGCTAGAAGGATAAACAAACTATATTTTGTTTTATATATATATATAGAGGATTGGGTGTTGTATGCTTTTATCAATATTTATTTATATGTAATAGTACTCCTCCGGTCCTTAATATAGGACCCATTATTAAGTTGGTTTCGGTCTTAAATATAAGACCCATTTCTCATATTTATCAATTTTCTCTAAATTACCCCTATAGATACTCTCTCACCCATAATCAAGTAGAAGAGGGAGAGGGGGTATTAAGAAAGATGATTATGGTATTTGGGAAAACTGTGTCACTTTCTTATAATTAACTAACTTACCTATCTTCTTTAATCTAATCAAATTAGTAATGGGTCTTATATTAAGGACCGGAGGAGTAGTAGTATTTATATAAGAACACTTTTTTTTTTTGGACCACAGAACGATGATAAGTTGTGCAGCTAAATTTTTTACCCGACCCTTTTCGGCCACATCATCGAAGCCTTTTTCCTGTTCATGAACACAATTACAAACCCATGACTGTCACTTCCACGTGTTACATTCCCATACACTCTCCCTGACCTCGATTGTCGCCGTTACCCCACATCTATTGCGCCACCCCCTCCCAACTCACAAGGCCAAAAATAAAAATATCACTAGTCTCCCCAATCCCCTTCCTCCACGTGTCATTCATCCAACGGTCTCCCTCCTGCGTCCCCCCTCACCCCGCTGCACACGTTTCAGTCATCGCCCCTCGCAGCCCTCACCTCTAACCCCTATCTGTTCGACCTTTAACAGATCCATTTCTCTATATAAAGGCCACAGAGCGTTTTACCCTCTGGTAGGAGCCAGCTAATTTCATACCCACTCATATAAATTCCTTCACGGAGAGAAAGGAAGAAGCCTTGCGTAGCTTGTGGACTGGGAAGAAGAACATTGAGCTTCTGATTAGTTTGAGCTTTTTCGTTTTTCTGAACTGCTCGGAATATGGTTTGCTTCTGCTTCCTGGTGGATCAGAGGAGGAAGGTGAGGAGGAGCAAGCCGGCGGCCGGAACGTGCTCGCGGTGTGGCCACGGAGCCAGCGTGGCCGACATGATGACTCAGACGAGGTTTTGTTATGTTCCGTTCTACTGGAAAAACTGGAAGGCCATTATCTGCACTTTCTGTGGAGCCATGCTCAAGTCTTACAGATGAGCTCATATGTGTCTGTCCCGCGTAATGTATAATAATCACCCAGAATAGTAAATTTTTTGCCGCTCTTCCTCTTCTTTCTTCGGAATCATAAATCTGCGATAGAGATTGTTAATCAGTTTGAGTTACAGAGCTGCGAGCCGTGACGACAACGTTGTAAATATAATGAATTACATAGTCTGGGTACGACAAATGATCAGATCAGAGATGATATTAGGTGCAATTTGAGCCTATTCCAGAAATAGAAGAAGTCGGCAGCCTGATCTGCTCTTTTCGGAGTTATTTTTTCCTCCTCGTCCTTTTTTTTTTTTCGTTTTTCTTCAAATATGGTACTATAATCTTCTATTCTTAACATAAAAACTTACTTTACAATACAAATTATACCATGAAGTGGATTTTTTTTTTTTTTTGAAAAAAGAGAAATGCATCTAAAAAATTCGAATAGATATATTTTTTTAATTTTTTTCCTGAAAAAAGTACTTTTCTGCGTATTTAATATAGTTTGCCTCGTCAATTTCATTCTTAATTGATCACAATACTGATGTATATGGTAATCGTCGGCCTTCATAATTTGTATGTGTATATAACTTCTCGATTAAGTTTGGGTGCGTTTCTTTCAATCAGATAGTTGTTGGATCTAATTAATTTGCGAGTTGATTGACCAAGTAGGCTAAATTGCAAAATGAACGCATGACATTATTTCTATACAATTTTCTTTTTAGGCAAAAATCTATTTCCGTTTTCAAATTTTTATTCAGCCAATCAAGATAACTATTTAGGTGGGTGGGAGAATTTTTTTTCCCCCTTCCTCTTTTCCTCTTTGGAATATGAGGGAGAAAATATTAGTAATATCAAGTTAATTAACTTAAATACAAAATTTTCCCAAGATCATGGTTTTTTAAAAAGCTTTCATATTACAATTTTAAATATTAAATATTCCCTCTTATTCTTAACATGAATTATTTAACTAATTTAGACGGATTAAAAATTTAAATAAATACAACAAATGTGACATGAGTTCTTCCTAGATAACTATTATATTGAATCATCTATCAGTTTATAAGTTTAATATATTAGTTTTAAAAAATGATAAATATGAGAAAAATATAGAATAATATCTCACATCTATGATTAAATTCAACCTCAAACTTGTTTGGTGATATACTCCTCTGGTCTTATTTATAAGGGGGAGAGAGTTTTTTTATCCTATCCATAAGTCACTTTATTAAATTCTTGATACTAATATACTATTTTATCCTCCAATTGTTATACTGCAGATAAAATTTTTTTTGAAACATGTATATCTTAAATAAGAATAAAATTAAAAAATATTATATTTTAATAAAAAATTAATATAATTTAAGATTTTTTATCTATGTAAAATATATTAAAAAACATATAAATAGAATCAGAGACATATCAAGCAAAGAAGGGAGAACTTTATATGTCTATAAAAATTCGGATTGCGACACATGTCTGGATTTAATTTCATTTTTGTTTAAACTAATTATGGGGTAGCATGCTCGGTGGTAACCCTCAACAATTAAGAGGAGAGGGTCGGCGGTGAAATTAAAGAAGAGAATTTATTGAAGCATCGTGGTTGGCAACCATTTAAAAGAAATGAAGCAGCAGCCTATGTATACAGGACACATGCCTTCCGATCCGAAGCCACTACTGGTTATAGTACGTTGTCCTGCCCAGTTAATACTTTTCGTCAATTCTTTATCTATAATAAACAAGATCTGTTTTTTGTTTTTTCACTGTACATAACTATTCTTTTATTCTATTGAATTGCAATATTATTTAAGATGTTATTAAACACTAAATAAAGACGCATTTTTAATAAGAATTTAAATATTAATTTGTTACGTTATAAAAAACTAGTTTCTCACAAATTTAACATTGATTTATTTATTTGTTTTGAACCTATCTTCGTTGATATGTGTCACATTTTTTTTGGGGTGCAATTTCAAAGTAATTTCATTTCACTTAATAGATGAAAACGATGACATGATAGAGACATGAAACTAAAACAAATGGCTTTCTCACTACATAAATACTAAGTCATGACAAATGCACATTCTAGTACGCACGGCCAATTCATGCTAATAATTAAGTTGACAATGTTTGCATTTATTTCATAGGTTTGTCGTATGAGGTACATCTATTTAGAAAAGAGTTTTCTTCATTATTTTTATAAAACATTGTGTAAAATATTTGTTATTGTACATAATGTTCTTATTTAACGTTGGTTTGTGTTTTCAAAACTGGCTTTTAGATTTTTTTTAAACGGTCAATTGAACATGGAGAAATTTGAACATTTTGTTAACCTCTAGACACAATTAATTAATACTGTTATGGTCCTATTTATAGGGTAGAGAAATTTTTTTTCTTATTTATAAATCACGTTATTAAATTTTCAGTATGAATGTACTATTTTGTTCTTAATTTATTATAGTGTAGGTAATTATTTCTTTTGAAAGGTGTATATATTAAATATGGATAAAATTAAAAAAATTAGTATATTTTAATGAAGAGTTAATACAATTTAAGATTTTTTATTTGTATAAAATATGCTAAAAGTATCTTATAAATAAGACTAGATGGGTAAATTTTAAATTTATCATTACTCATTAGTTTTGATAAAAACATTTAAAAATGACTAATAAACAAGGATGAAGAATATGTCCACATGACTGATGGGGAGGAAAAGGTTGGGGTTTGGATTTAATGCGAAGGACGCAGGAGGAAGCAAAGAAGTAGGTGTGTTGAACAAGAAAGCGAAAGCGATACCGCAAAAAAGAATGGCACGTGCTTGCTTCCCGTACGCTCCGGTTCTTTAATCATGGTGGCATAAGATGCTCCCCCGATAGTGAATGCAGGACTTGTTAATTAATTATAAATATAAGATTTATTTTTTATATTTAATAATTAATCTCAAATCATATTAATACTCTCTTAATGATAACTAAGTATGAGAGGAATGAAGGATATAAGAAAGATTATTAAAATATTTTAGTAATAACATGTTATATTTATTATATAAATAACTAATTTATCTAATTTTTTTAATGTTATCAAATTAATTATATAAATCTTATAATAAGAACAAGAGGAATATTGTAATTTTTGAGGTAAGCATTATCCTATTTCATAAGATTATTCAAACGATGCGTGAAATTTTAACTAACTTTTCCCCCCCTAAAATTATTGTCCCCATCCATTATATTATTTGGACGCAATTAATTCATTTGAATTACTCTTATCATTTTCCTATTTGTTTATTCTATCTCCCTCACTCATAATCTTCGTCCATAATTAAAGATATTTCCAGAAATTTGTTTATTTACTAATTTTAATTACTCTTCCGGTTCTAAATATAAGAACTATTTTGTAGTATAATTTATACTACAAAATAGGTCTTATATTTGGAACGTATAATTTTTAAAAATATTTTAGTGTTAGTTACAGGACTTTTTTCATACGACAGCAAAAATTTTAATTAACACTTTATTATCCGTAATTTGATTATTTGTATTTTATGTATTCATGATAAGAGAAAATAGCAATTATGAGTAGTACTTAGCGCCTCAGCCAAGAAGGCAGCAAACTTGCGGCACCTCAAATATCGAAAAACGGGGGGAGGTGGGGGAGCGACAAAGTCACATTACAATCTGGGCCACACCTTTCGGCTTCACGGGTCATCATATTCAACCACCCCTCCCCTTTTTTCTCGCAAAAAATGAACACACACATAAATCCCCCAACCATCTTTGATCAAATCCACTTGAAGCTTTTGATCAGTCTTCGAATTGAATGCAGCAGCATCAGTCTTCTCATCATATTGACCTCAACAACAACAAAGAAAAAATGATGCAGTTGAGAGGGCTGTGGGGAGCTTTTATGGTTCGCACCATGTTGAGCTGCGCACTAGAGGTTGCCCACTTGATGCGATACACAATTATGCACATCATCCGCCCCACCACGCCACTTCACTTGGTTCCTCCTTCCTCCGGCTCCGTCATAAACACCGCTCTTTAATCTTGTGGCCGGTTTTCTTTTCTTTTCTTCTTCTTCTCTTAACCTAAAAAGTATAAATACTGATTATCTGAGATTATTAGCGGGATTGAAATTATGATCTTTCATTTGCAAAGAAGTATCCGTATCATGGGATTGTAAGGTATTTGACTTGTTGGCTGTTTTCTGAGATTATTACCCATGTGACAAGGAGCATGGCTAAAGTTCGATGAGAATGAATAGAGAATATGTGAGTTAGCTTTTCTGTTAGAAAGATAAGATGTGCGTGATATGTTTAAAAACATAGCCAGGGTTGTAATTCTATTTTTGTTAAACAATTTTAATTACTACCTCTCCGATCCTTAATATAAGACCCTGTTTGACTTTTATTTTGATCCTAAATATAAGATCCCAATCCACTTTGTCTCTCATATTTATACATTTTTTTTCAAAGTAGTCACTCTAACAATGATAGTTCTAATCAATATACTTGATTAGCACAGATATTTTAGGAAATACAACACATATTTAGGACAAATAACTAACTCAACTTACTTTCTTAATCTCCTCAAATTAGTCAACTGGTTCTTATAATTAGGACCGGAGTAGTACTTCTTAAAAATGAGTGAAGAGTAGAAAGGAACACATGATATCCCTTCTACCGGTACTAAGAAATAGAAAAACCACCTAAAATTATTTACTTATCTAGATATTGAGATTCACATGTTCGTACTCAAATTGATATCTAGTCGATCATGTGACAACGGTTCTTGTAGTAGTCATGTCACCAGAATACGTAGTTTATAATGTTAAAATAATTGTGCGTGTGAATAAATAAAATATTTCTCATCCATATACGTTTTGTTGTCTGCTGATCACAGGGCTCAATATGTACGTGATCGGTGATCCATTTACTTTTTGTTTGAATAAATATTGAGAGGGTAAAAAAGATGGACAATGGAAAAATGAAAAAGGTTCAATGAATTGACTTTTTGGTGGGGATATCATGAAGATGGGCTTTTCTACGTTCATCCACAGCCACAACCCATGCCGCCGCATTAATATTTGTTTGAATTTTTTATTTATTTATTTGGCCGAAATATATGCCCACAATTAATGAGTGACACTGATTCAAGGGATAGCTCTGAATCGTGGTGTCAATTTATATCGTATGATGGATCAAAGCAAGCA